TGTGGCAACGTCGCAATTAACTGTCAATTTTCAAAAATTATTTAATTTAGTTTCTCACTATTTCTGACTGATCATTTAAAATGCTCTGCTTTAGATCTAAAACGTCAATCATATGATACGCTGCATTTAAATGTTTCACTAAAAATTTTGCATAAATTTCATACTTTGCTTTGGAATTTTTCAAATATATTTTTGCCATAAAAATTCTTATTAAGTTATTATTTGTTATAATTTGTTTGCATTACTTACAGTATACGAATAATAACAAACACAAATGGACATACACAAAAAGAGAGAAATAGGCACAAAAAAAAAGGAAAGTACATAAAAGTAACAAAAAATATTTTTTTTAATGATTTTTTCTGCATGATCAACGTTACTTCGCTTATGCTTAGATCTCTTAGGCTTGAATAAACTAGCTCCATCATCGCATAGTACGTACGGGATCAAACCTCACCCGCTTCGAAATTTTCTTTCAAGTAATTAATGAATATTATGATTTTGAAGGAGGGTTTTAATCTAATTATGTTTTTTGTCTGTATGCTGTTATATAATTGCCAGTTACGAATCCATATTAATAAGTCCCAAATTTTGTCAAAATTGAAGTTCAATTTGAAAAGAATAGGTATATCAGATGACTAAAATATTAAAAATGGGGAATGCATTGAGTGTTTTTCTCAGATGCATGTAACCAAAACTTTTTCTCCTTGCTATTGTCACGGTTCAAGTTATGTAAATGTACGCGTATTGCCTCACGTAGACATTTAGAAATACTCTTATGTAGAATTTAAAGCATGTAAGCGGTATATGTTGCAATATTAACCTAGTGGATTAAACAAATAAATAAATAAAATTAACAATTATTAAACAAAATTAATATTGATTAGCGACCTTAGAATGAATGAATGAATGAATGAAATCTCTTTATTGTTTCCTTCATAGAATGATACTGATTATAAAGATTAACAATATGTACACAAACAAAATGAATAATTAATTACATAAACTTAATTACACAAAAGCAAGATAAAGAGACAACAATGGACGGTCTTATCGCTAAATAACTGTCTCTTCCAGACAACCTTAGGCTGGAGAGGAATAATTAAAATTGTGTCTGGTCAAAAAGTAACAGAAAAATAATAAGCCAGAAAAGGAGAAAAAAAAAAAACGGCTGAATATAAATAAAAATATATCTACACAAATTGTATTTATTTTAAAAAGAATAAAACGCATCGGTGCACAACGATGATTCATAGACAATTAAAATATTTAAATTTAGAATGCAGAAGCTTGTTTCTATAAATATACGATTTTTTTACTGAGGTCGTTTAAAAAGGAAATGACCTATGAAACAGGGAAAAAAAAAACTTACTATAAAACTAACACTAACTAATCTAATTGACCTTTCTGTTCTCTTTACGGTCACAAGTTCAATATACGCGCGTCGTCTCACGTAGACACCTTAAAAATGCAGTTATATGGTGTTTAAAGTGGGTGAATATTCTCAATGTAACGTTAAATGCAAATAATAAAAGTAGATTATGCTTTTAAAAAAAAGGTAATCTAACTATCTATATGTTAAAGAGAATAAAATATAATAGTTGGCGAGATGATCCATAGGTATTATATTTAGATTTATAAGATTTGAATTTAGAATGTGGAATCGACTTTTAAATTTATTCATTTACCTTATTTTTTTTTATACCAAGAAGTATAACCTTCTTGGTCGATCTGATGGTAAATGGTCAATGTAAATTATCTGTTTTTTAAGAATTTTATTGTATGATTAACATTTCGCTACTAGAGCACTTTATAAATATTAAAAAATTAGAAATTATTTTCTAAATAGTAAACAGGTAAGTAAAAGCTAGTGCGGGAGAAATTACCTACCAATGTACAACTTTGTAACCTCACTATAAATGGTTTAATGTCATTACTCATCTTACTTATTTTTTTCAGTTTTTTGTTTAGTTTTCATATAAATTGAGTTAGTATATTTTTTTATCTACTTGTATGTTAATATATAAGCTTTCTCCATAAGCGGAGTATTGCCAGTAGTTGCCATGCTTGGCAGGTGGGTAGGCAACCGCAGTTAGGCTTTTCGTGATGTTTTTAGAGGGACGCTGCTGCACATCCCTTGACTATTAAGTTCTCTTAGTCATCTCTTACGATACCCACAGGACAGAAAAGTGATGCCGGGACCACACGGCTAGTTCTACTAGTATGTGTTTTTTTTTTTTTGGGGGGAAAGAGATTGTTAGTAATGGAGACTGAGAATCCCATTGCTAGCAATATACCCAACCAGGTCGACCTCCTCGCAGTTCCCCCTGGAAACTATCATGGTTAATTCCTGTTGAATTAATAATGATGGGCTAACTGGTCTGTTTTCATTCTCACCTATCACCCTTCACTGGTGCTCCGTCAGCGTATCCCGTTAGCGCAGGCGGGGTTACCATACCATTTTCACCCATCAAAAAAAAAACTAGTATGTGTGTGATTATTATTATAGCTACTTAAGTATTATGTATAACTAATTACCCATCTCAACCTTAATGGCGCATTTCACGTTATTTCTATACATAGTTTGGATAATGGATTATGCGATATACCACTAAATACATATTTAGTAATTATCGTAGCAGCTACTCGTAACGTCCAATGATTTACTGACATCTTTTGTTTTACTTAAAGAAAGATGAATGTTAACTATTTTTCTTCATCTATGGACGTGATCATTTCTCCCAAGAGCCTACAGCATGGGGTTCTTCAAAAGGGGGGGTAAAGAGGTTTCTTCAGGGTCGGCAACGCGCGCATAATACTTTTGGTATTACAGGTGTTCATAGGCTACGGTAACCACTTACCATCAGGTGGGAACTATGCTTGTTTGCCACCTCAGTGGTATAAAAAAATGTATCTTACTAAAATATTAATCACTTTTATACAATTTTAACCAGAAGATGAGAGATTTATATGTGAGTCTTATAATAAGGCTATATATATATATATATATATATATATATATATATATATATATATATATATATATATATATATATATATATATATATATATATATATATATATATATATATATATATATTAAAATAATGTTTTAAATCATTTGCTAAAATTATATTAGTAGTAGTATTATATATATATATATATATATATATATATATATGTGCTATATATTATTTGTTTGTCTGTCTTGATATGCTATCTGTGGTCTATTTAATTAGTTTTCTTCTGAAAGCCGGTCGCATGAATTAGTGGGCAAAAAATTAGTATTTTATATCTTATTATTTATTATTATATTTAAGACAAATTAATATCGGTCTTATTATTTGTTCATAAATATAAATATAATTTTACAAAATTTGAACAATCAAAAATACCACCAAATCAAATAATATGAATAAAAGGAATATCGTGGAACAAAAAAAAACTAATCCGTAAGATGTTAATCACTTCTTTCCTTTCGTTGTTATTCTTGGAGCATATCGTCAGGATGTGTTGTATGGTATATCATCGATTAAGCCACATTCCTGACAATATATGTTGTTGATGTATCTAATATATATCGTATAGATCATTGTACATCTCGAACTCAAGGCAACCGACTTTCATCATTTGCGTTTTTTGGTTTTATAATTAAACTTGTCGATGTCCTTTTCATTCACTTGCGTTTGTTACATTCTCTCCTTTTCTAACGCAAGAATTCAAGTGCAACCTTGCAATCGCGACCTGTTTTCTTCCGCCAAAATTTTTGAACAGGAATTCAATTTAATCGTTTCTTTTTTTATCATATCACTGGAACGCGTATCTTTGCAATAATGAATATAAATATAAATATTTGCAAGAATAAATATAAAAAAAACTTAATGACTTGATTTTAAAAGCCTATTAGCGTTTCATAATATTTAAATATGAAAGTGAGATTGTATGTTTGTTATTTCTCGGAACCTTATTAATTTTCTTGGAATTTAGTATATATTTAAGATAGAGGATATATACTTTTTAAATGTTTGCTAAATGAAAGAAGTATAATATTTTCAGGGTTTATTTATGTATTGTGTCAGTCTTTTTATTCCATTATAACTTGTAAATACTATAACAGATTTAAATGTCTGGGATATCGTTAAAATTTTTACATAAGTGAATTATTAATAATTTAGTTATTATTTAAGAGCTGTGGATTTTTGTATAAAATAAAATAAAATATATTAATAATAAATATTATGTATTTTTTTTATCAATATGGTGGATACGTATGGTCATTTTTAAAGAGTAAAAAAATTTACAAAGCAGTAGTGTCGTTAATTTTTTTTTATTATAGAAGCTTGCTACGACAGTCAAACAAAGTATCCCGGCGATGTTGATAAAGACAGGGGGAAAAATTAATAATGAATTAGTTCTGTGGACTTATATTGAATTTGTATATAATATATTTTATTCCATAAAAAAAAAAAAAAAGAATTTATGATATAATGCATATATGTATCGAAAAGAAAGAAAACAATAATTTTCCAAATCGGTTTATAAATTACAAAGTTATGAGGTAACGAACATAAAAAAATTACAACCGAATTGTGTTACACATAATGTATCACATAGTGATAAGAGATAATTTAAATTTAAAAGTCATTTCAACATTCTTTCATTGAATATTAGTGTTCGACGCAACAAATTTTTTTTTATTTTATTTTTTATCCAATTGTCCGTCGCATTATTTTTTTTTTACATTTCTAATTTAGAAAGTTTGCAATAAAGTTATAGAGATCTGTAAAATTGCAAGTGGACAAACATGATTTCTATTGCGGGTTCAACGTACTGAGAAAAAAGTTGGTCAACATACTCGGTGGTAAAAAATGTTGCGGTCTGTTGCAATGTGCAAACTTAAATAGTTTTTATTCATTTTAATTCGACGGTTATTCATATAATAAAAATTAAAAAAAAATTAGTTAATTGATGTAAGTCTAATAATAGAAAAAAAAACTTACAAAGATTTTCGAATAAAAATTGCAGACTTCGCCATTGCCAAAAAAAAAATTTATCAAAATAAAAAAAACTACACGAGCACTTCACTAGTCATATTAAAAAAAAAATTCAATGTGCAATTTTTTTATATCTCTTTTTTTATATAATCGTCTATATTTATTTTCGACTTTTTATAATGAAATGTATGCAGACAGGAGCGTCGTGAGCTCGCGCGACGCGATAGTGGGTGCATGTGGTAGCCGACACAAACATTAAAATGTACAACTCAATGAACTAGGGAAGTCCTTTTTGTAAATATCGATAAAGTGAATCTATATTAACTTACGAATAATGTATTTCTCCTATGAGAGTTACATTATTTGTACGTGCGAGTGACAGATTATAGGGATGTGTAGGTAAATTACTAATACGTTAATTAGTTTACGAGTAGTAATTAAGTATTTATGACTGACCATCTGGAAACGCCCTTGTAACGTATTTTATTTGTTTCTAATTTGATTTGATGGGCTTAATATATTTATCTCTTTATTACTTATTGTAATTAAAAGATTAGATTAACTTATAAATAGGTTTTATTTATTTGTGACAGAAAATGTTATTAATCAATAAGATAATATAAGTAATAAAATAATTTGTGAAATTAATTTAATCTGTAATTACTTATAATATTTATTTTATAATTGTATAAATAAAATATAATTAACGTGTCACTAAAACATAAATTATGTTAATAAAAAATAATATAATATTATGTTATTACTTAAGTCGTACTTGACTGTAATTATGACGCGTCAACATTAATCTTTTATGCAATAATACTCGTATAATAATTCGTTGCATAATTTTAACGATAGTGTACTGTAATCTTAACCTTACACAAATTTATAAATTTTTTCACTGAATAAATAATCAAAATTTATTAATAATTAATAAATTAATAATTTATATACTAATAATTAATACCTATACTTACTACTACTATAATAATAAATACTTAAAAAAACAATTAACATAAATTAATATATAATTACCAAACTATTTTATTTCTCAATACTTGTACGGTATAATCGTCAGGCATTTCCCATTACTATGAGAAACATAATAGTACTGATTTTTAGTTACTGATTTTGATAGCTATCTGTTCTTTCCTAACGAAGGCCAAAGAACATATAAACACATCTTTAACCTTTGTTACTTGTTTATATTTAAAACCTATCGATGAATATAAAAAGAAGTATACATTATAATCTTAATCGTACACAAATTTTTGAAATTTTTGACTAAATAATTAATAATTTATATATTAATAATTAATAAATTAATCAACATAAATTAATATTTATTATATGACTAAACTATTTTATTTCTCAATACTTTCCTTCCTAACGAAAGCTAAAGAACATATAAATACATCTTTAACCTTTGTTACTGGTATGTATTTAAAACTTATCGATGAATAAAAAAGAAGTATACACTCGTCACACACTAGTGTCGAATTGAACTTTGTCCCCCATCTTTGTTTACCATTCCTACTACCTCCAAGGCTGTAATTGACGAATCCCAATAATTGTAAACAATTTTGTATTTTTATTATACCTAATGTTAATGTGGTAAATTGGTTCAATGAACCGTGTTTGTTTTGTATGGTTTCACAATTAGTAAGAAGTCGCATCGCATGTGTTTTTGTGATAAGATAAAGAAAGTTATTTACATACAATAATTGTTTTATTTATGTTTCTCCAATAGGATATTATTTTATATAATTTTATATTTATACTTATAAAGTCGTTCGTCCTCGCTGGCTAACAACGTATCGACCTAAAGCTACTAAATCTAGAAAGCTGTAATTTGGAATATAGCTTTATATTATAACATAAATTCCTAAGAAAGGTTTTTGAAAATTTAAAGGTAGACATGACACCGCGTGTGTAAAGCCGCGGGCAATAGCTAGTCTTCTATGTACCGGCTTAGTAGTGTGTTAGTATTTTGTAGAATCTGAACTTTTAGAAACTGTCACAATTTTATAAACAGTAAAAGCTAATAGTTTTTTTTTTTAAATACGTGATAATGGAATGGTACCTCCACCTATGTTATTGGTATACGCTGGCGGGATACCAGTGAGAAATGTTAGGTGAGAATGAAAAAGCAGGTTAGTTAGTCTATCGTGACAAGTTCCACTCGAATTAATCACGATAGTTTCCAGGGGGAACCGTATAGAGATCAATCTAATACAACCTGTATTGCTAGTTATGGGAAAATTAGACCCCCATTACTAACATTCCCTTTCCCCACAATTTAATGGTTATACATATTTTGTCTTCATTGTAAAGAAATCATGAAAGGCTTTGAAGGGAATATGAAATTTAAATTGACTTATTTTTTTTTAATTTACGTGACGCAATGGTCTAGAACCAGTTCTAATCCGAGCAAAAATATTTAGGTACAGATTACTTATCACACCTATCCATTAATTATGCACGCGAGAACACTATCTCTCTTGGGCTATATTGGTATCAAAAGACAGTATTTGACAAGTTAATTCAAAAATATATAAGTATAAATACAGATTCTAGAAAACCAAATTTCTACCTTAATACAATAAACATTTAGGGTGAAATTCGTTTGTGTCTTCTTAAGGGATTAAAAGAGGTCCTGATATCGAGTTATCAGGGAGATCAGAGTCAAATGTCGCAGGTAATTACCGCGCTGCCGGTGCGGCGTGTCTGTGTTTAAGAAAATTAATGGTTTCAGTACTCACGGGATACAAGTATCTCTCGAAAGCAATCATTTTCTGGAACAAAGCAAAGGGAATAAAGCTTCCGCGTTCTTTCAAACGGGAACTGTTTTTAAATTGACGATGATTCATTGTAATTGATGGATTTCGAAAGAGATTTACGTTGCTCTAATAAAATACGTTTTGATTCCTTTAATATAAATTCAATGTTGGGCCTATAAGAGACTTGGCGTGAAGACAGTTTTTGTTTAAATAGTGATATTGTAATAGCTGCCTGTATGTTTATTCCAGCATCACGTAAAAAGTACTGCATCAAATTGTAAGCGGTTTTCACAGTTTTATTCCTGAAAGTCTAACTTTGAGCACAATGGTTTCCAGGAGGGACCACGTGGAGGTCGACCTGACAGGATATATTGCTAGCAATGGTATTGGTAATTCGTATTACTAACAATTCTTTCCTCCCACATGTGTAGGTTATATCCTAACGTAGCAGCTAAAAAGTTTAAGGACCGCTGCTCTAATGCACTGATTTACGTGGGCAATACCGTGGGATATAGCTAGTTATAAAAAAACAAGGATTGTCAATACTTGAGTTTTAAGTAATTATTTACAAACAAATTGTTGCTTGCAATTACGATTAAAATTATTAATATTTTAATTGTAATTTATTAATTTCCCAACTTAAAACTCTAGCAATTAATTTATATTTGGATTGCTTCGTAAATCAAAAGGAATATAAAGCTGTCAGAGGCTTTCATCCAGCGAAAGTTTTTTTAATAGTTGATAATGGACTGGCAAAGCACCAGTGAGGGATAATAGGTGAGAATGAAAAGGTAAGTCAGTTAGCCCATCGTGATGAATACACCTGGAATTCAGCACGATCGTTTCCAGGTGGGACCAGCTGACAGGACCTGACAGGGTATATTGCTGACAATGAGACTGGTAGTCGGTATTTTTTTTTTTGGTGGATGAAAATGGAATGGTAACCCTGCCTGCACTAACGGGATATGCTGGCGGAGCACCAGGGAAGGGTGATAGATGAGAATAAAAAAACAGGCCAGTTAGCCTATCATGATGAATTCATCAGGAATTAACCATGATAGTTTTCAGGGGGAACTGCGAGGAGGTCGACCTGGTTGGGTATATTGCTAACAATGGGATTTTTAGTCTCCATTACTAACAATCCCTTTCCCCCCACAGTAGTCGGTATTACTAACAATCTTACTATTATCATGGTCATCTCATACACCTGCCTGGTGGTGAGGGCAGGCGAGATATTGTAATGGGGCAATGGGGTTTGCCCCGAGAGGGCCTCGGGGAAAATCCCATTGCCCCGGCATCATCCCCGGAGGCCACTGCCTCTGTGTCGCTAGGTTTTAAGCCGACATACACTGTTGGTATGTGTACCATATGTCGGTGTAGCATCTTCCTCCTTCTTTATGATTTAAAGGCAGTGGGGTCGGTTTCTCGCTCTCTTCTATAGACATCTATATATATTTTTTTACTAACAATCATAACAACAACATGGTCATCTCTTGCCCGCCGGATGATGTGTGGGCGGGCGAGGTAGGGGCCTCGGGGTGTACCCCACTACTCCGGCTTCTACTCCGGAGGCAACGACCTCCGGGTCACTGGGTTTCTTCAGCCGGCGTACACTGATGTTCTGTGTATGCCGGCGTGGTGTCCTAACAATCATCTTCCCCTCAACAAAGACTTGACACACTAGAGGGCGCCCATATTAGTAATGCTACCATTTTCGCTACGTAATAATGTATAGAAAATACATTGTCAGCAGATTAATCGTCACTCCATCAAGATTGATGAATAATCTAAATTGTTTATACAAAACGAAGTTGCGCGGGTAAAGCTAAAAATAAATAATTCGACTTTCCATTTATTCGGGATTAAAGGGAAAAAGGAAACGTCCGCGAACCGTGCCAAGGTCGCCATTATCTCGATCCCTTTGTCTCTGGGAAGCATTTAGGGGTTTATCAATTTACATCTTATGTACTCATCTAGGCACAATCTGATTTCCTATTTGCACAAATTGATAAGCAATGATTGCTTAAAGTTGCACGGTATTTAATCGTGTATTCTAATATTATAAAAAGGAAAGATTTGATTGTTTGTTTGTTTGTAAGGGATAAAGTCAAAAACTATTCAAACGGTTTTAAAAATTCTATCACTTACAGAAAGTTACGTCACCAGCGAATAACATGGGCTATATTATTTTATTTTGGAAATTTTATCTACCCGTGCGAAGCGGGCCGAATCGTGGTAAAAAAGTTATTTTTGTTTCAAATTAAATTACTGAAACGATTTTAATAAGATTTCTATGAGATCAATTTGAAAGTATATCCTTTTATCTTAATAAAAAAAATCAAATCTGTTTATAAATGACTGAGTTATATAAACACAAAAAATAGGACCAAACTGAGAATCTCCTTCTTTTATGAAGTCGGTTGAAGATAGAAATTACTAGACAATTTTTTATTTTTCCATTCCCTATATTTT